ACATATAATCAGTGGGAAGACGACGAAAACGATCGAACGACAACTTACTGGAGGTACATTGACAAAGTCATGTCTACATAAAAAGAAGAAGACGATAAAATAAAATCACACATTAAAACAGGTTAAATTTCATTAAAACATTTAATTTAAAAATAATATGTACAATTTACTTTATTAACATATAACCCTAAATCAAATAAATTTTACAAAAACACAAATTTAAATTTAGGAACGTTACATAAAATATTAAAATATTGCATATTTTTAACATAAGACAAAATGCATTACACTTAACATTAAAGAAGTAGAAAAATATGGCTCAATGTAAAATAGTAGGTAGAAAAGTCTACTGATACACAAAGTGGTAAGTATCGCAGAAATGGGAAAAGTGATAATATACAAATATTGTATATCTACCACTTCGTAAGTAGTTTAAAGTAGCGGCAGTTAGGTATGAATGTGGTGGAATGTTGAAGAAAAATAGTGCCAAAATCATTTGCAATGGAATTAATAACACAACAGTTTTCTTCGAGTAATCAAGTAAATTATCCTCAAATGCCAGACTCACCTTCAAAATCCAGACACCACAATTTTAAATTGTTTTCATTAACATGTACAATGAAACGTCCAAGTATTCGGTAGAAAGGAGGCTGTTGGCTTCCAACATGCCAAATTGAATGAGATATTTTAGTTTTATTTTGTTTCCACCGATTTAAAGATTAAATTTATAAAAGTTCTTCCAATCTGGAACTCGAAGCGTCAAGTAAACTGTTTATCTAAACTTAAAACAATTTTTAATTCATGACAATTTCCACGTTTTAAAATCTAGCAGCACAAGTCACTCTTAATCATTCATCATCATCAATGGTGCTACAGCCCTATGAAAGAGCCTCGACCTTCCCAAGTCTATTACGCCAGGCAGTCCTATCCATTGCCAACCGTTGCCAGTTTGCTGCTCCTATCTTTCTACCATCCTAATCTACACCATCCTTCTATCTGAGTTTTGGCCTACCCCCTTTTCTGCTTCCCACGGGTTGTGACATAAGGATTCTTCTAGGAGGGCAGTTCTGCTGTGATCTTGCTAGATGTCCTGCCCATCTTAATCTTCCTATTCTTATAAGAGATACTATGTCTTTACCACCACATATTTGTTTATATCTGTGGTATACCTCGTAGTTGTATCTCCTCCTCCAAACACCATTTTCACAGATGCCACCAAATATTCCTCTCAGGATCCTTCGTTCAAATATAAGCAAAAGGTCTTCGTCTGCCTTGGAGATCTACGTCTAAGTTTCTACTTCTCATATGTCTACTCAGTCCAAAATAGCATCAGTTTGCCATTACTATCCTTCGCTTGATTTCTTCCGTTAAGGCGTTCTCTTTGGTGATCAGGGAGCCTAAGTATGTGAATTTGTCAACCACTTCAAAGGTAGAGTTATCAACCGTGAATTGGGGACCGATGTTCCTGGCTCTATTGTTGGGTGTTGATGCCATCATCTTAGTTTTCTCCTCATTTACTTGCAGGCCCATAGATTTTGAGGCATTTGAGAAGGTGGTATACATTTCGTCTAGCTTGCGTGTTGTGCGGGCAACTAGGTCCACATCATCTGCATATGCCAAAATTTGGGATGATTTATTAAAAATATACTCTTAATCATTACTGGTTTGAAGTGTCAGTTATGTCAGTTTTTAAATTCTCCGAATTTTAAATGTATGTAACGATGTGAGTTTGTTCCTACTATTCTGAAGCTATTTTCTTGTGGCATTTTAATGCAATTACTATTTTTATTGGAAATAATAAAAGAGGAAAACAATAATAATAAAAAATCCCCAGATATGAGGGATAACATATCGAGGATATATCATTTATGTTTTTAAATAACATACAGTTTTGCGTCCTTTATTTTTGTCCTTATTATAGGACGCCTGTTTTTAAATTAAATACAGGCCAGTGAACTTTTATTGAAAGATCCCTTATTTTGACGTAACCTGTCAAAGACCGTGCGGAAGGGAGCCAGACGCCTTTTATTTATAAAGATATTTGATCAAATTTGTTGTATGTTCTGTTATATTTATGTTATATTCTGCAGAAATTCAAAAATGTTTAATGTCATTTGTCAAAATAAAAATTTTCTTCAACGTGTTGTTAATAACTCTCTTTTAGACATAAGGTACTTTATTAAAGGATACTGTAACTAAGGCAGCTGTCATCTTACGTCAGCCTTTACATCAAATCGAAAATCATATGATGCATGCGCTTCTTTACCAAGAGTTTTTGTATCTTGTATATGAGACTTCGCTAAACTATTTTTCGCAAATCAATCAGTCGTGTGAATATTGGCAAATATCTCTTTTTAGTCCTGATTTTAATAGTATTCCAACAAATCGGTAGTGTTTATCCATGTCTCCTATGAATGAATTATAATTTTTCAACACTTGCTTGTGATTCCATCTACTAGCTTGTGCGAGAAGTTCTATATGATCAAAATAAGATGTTAAGATGACGTTTATTATCGTTCCATTTTACAAAAAGTGTTTCTACATTTACATCAAATCTAAAATCATATGATCTATGAGCTTCTTTACCAAAAATTTTTGTGTCTTCACTAATCTATTGTGCACAACGTTCCTCTTGATCGGTATTTGCATTATGATAAGTGAAATAATAAATCTCTGCTGGTATATAAATTATTCAAATGCAATCTAATATTCAGAAATGCAATCTAATATACCAAATTCTAGTCTTTCTCTCAAAAGAGCTTTTTTAAGTTTAAAGAAGTATGAAAGGACAGATTAAGACAGAAAATATATTCCAATCTTAATGTGATCATGTTGATAAGCTTCCGATTCTACAAGCCAGTAAATTGAACTTTAAACACCATGAGTTTTATAAGTACTAGGTGCTTAAGCTGAAGAAGACGACGAAGCAAAATGTGACGACAGAGGAGAAAATGATGCAGACGACAACATCTTAAACCACATGTTATATTATGTTTTTATGTTTAACCAATATAAAACTGGTTACTGGTAAACCATCTACAAGTTATTAAAAGCCTCATCGAAAAATGTATAGAGTACAATAAACCCCTCGTCCTAATATTTGTGGATTATGAGAAGGCATTCGACACAGTAAACCACCGGAAGATGCTGGAAGCTTTGAAGGAGTGCCGAATAGATCACCGCTAAACCACTGTCATCAAAAATATCTATGATAATGCCACGGCATGCGTCAGACTCCATGAAGATACACACAAGTTCAACATTCATCGTGGAGTTCGCCAGGGCGACACCATTTCACCAAAACTGTTTACAACATTATTGGAATACATGTGTAGGCGTGCAAACCTAGACGAAAAGGGCATAAACATAAATGGAGAGCAGCTTAGTCACCTCAGGTTCGCGGACGATATAGTCCTGATAACAGACCGCATAGATCATGCCATCGAAATGTGCGAAAGACTCTACCATGCCTCTACACAAGTGGGTTTAAAGATCAATAACTCAAAAACACAAGTGATGACAAACCTTGTTCTGAGTGAGAACATCAACATAGCTGGAACAAGTATAGAACAAACATCAGCATACAAATATCTGGGACACGAAATTCGCTTAAGTAGAGATAACCAGACCAATGAACTAATACATAGAATAGGGTTGACATGGGCAGCTTATGGAAAGCTAAGAGATGTTTTCCAATCAGCTCTTCCCATCTGCTTGAAGAGAAAAGTCTTCGATCAATGTGTGCTGCCGGTTCTAACCTATGGTGCAGAGACGCTAACACTTACTAAGACGTCCGCAAACAAAATTCGAACAACATAGAGGGCAATGGAACGGTCCATGTTGGGATTAACCCTGAGAGACCGAATACCCAACACAGAATTGCGCCGTAGATCGGGAGTAACCGACGCAATCAAAAGAATATCAACCTTAAAATGGAACTGGGCAGGGCACGTCGGGAGAACGAAGGACGGCAGATGGACAAAACGCATTCTTGAGTGGAGACCCAGACAAGATGCCTTTAGGAATAGAGGACGACCACCAACAAGATGGACGGATGACCTGAAACGGACACATCAAAATTGGATGCAGGCGGCTCAGGACAGAAATTTGTGGGGTGAACTACGGGAGGCCTATGTTCAGCAGTGGACGAGTATGGGCTGAATGATGATGAATATAAAACTGGAAAATCCAAGCAAGGAACAGACCGAAATGGCGAAGAAACCTTAAGAAGGTCGGTGCTCTTTAAGGGATGTAGCACCATGATAATGACGATGAATATAAAACAGTATTTATTGGCTCTGTGCGTTAGAGAAGTCAAGAAGCCTCTCTCCATCACCGAATTCCAAAAAAAGAGGTGACCTTCGAGTATTCCTGACCTTCCGTCCCTCCGCCAGCTGTTTCGAGAATTCGTTCTCATTTTATAAGCCAGCAGGAGCGGACTCTGAATGTAATTAGTTATAGTGATATTCGTAATTAAGTGAACAAGAACAACATAACAATAGCAATCCTAAAAAAGAGTTCAATATGTACTTTTTACTGGATAGTATTAGATTTATTGATATTTTAGTATTCTACGGAATTTGGCACATTTCAAAAAATAATATTGTAGCGAAAGCCGACCCATTAATCGTAGTGAGTTTCTTATTTCTCAAATTTCCGCAACAATGTATCACACAATGATTTATCTCACCGTCAAGAGCTGTGCGAAATGAGAAGCTTGGATCACTCAACAAAAATATCTGGATGTTGTGTGTGTGGCCTATACATTAGAGCGCTTTTACTATTAAAAGCCGTCCATATTTTAAATACAATAAACTTCATGTTTAAGGTTAACTTTAAGTAAAATGAATTTTGAAAGTATTCCTATATGTAAAGTCTGTCTTTTATAAATATTTACTACAAAATAAAAAATCACTTTCAGATCAACATTCCACTACATTTTTACATATTTAGCTAAAAATAAATCAATTTCACCTTCGAAACTCCGTAAAAAGTTTCGTTTAAAATTCGTCGTGTCTGGTCAGAGCCTCGCCGAAATCTAAAGCCTGAGATCCAACGAAAAGATCATATTTGGCCAAAACTTCTTCTTTGGTTAGTTGCTCGTCAGCGTCAGAGTCTCCCTCGTAGATCAAATGTCTTGCTTCAGCTTCGGCGTGGTCGAAATCTTGGGGTAATATCCAGTTTTTGATCTCTTCTTCGTCCATGTAACCATCTCCGTCTTTGTCGCGGTAGGTGTTGAACTGTTCGCGCTCGCTCTTTACCCAATCAGGTTCTTCTTCGTTCTCGTCGCTTCTGTAATTTAATAATACAAATATAAGTATGAAATTAGGGATAAAATCAACATTTGAACCTAACCCTAATCAGTTGGTTTGACTAAAAACTTTTTATAACCAGTGACAGTGTAATGAAACTTATTCGTCTGTTAAAATAAGCGAGATCAAGCATTCAGTGATAACATCGTTTCAGAAGATCCGAAATATTCCCATTTCTTTATACCTGTGATAATCTTCAGCGTTTTCAAGTCCAAATAAATCATCACTTTGTGTTTGTTCTTCGTGTCTCTGGACACGACGTCAACGATATTATTGAATTTTTTTGTGTTATTTAATTTGGAGCATTTTTTGGTCCACTATATCATAAACATGTCATAAGATTTTTATTTCCGATTTTGAGAATTGCGTCTTAAAATCTTCGAAAACGATAAGCATATTCTTCTTCTTCTCCAGCCTCAAGTAATCCAACTTTGGACATAGGCCTCCCCCAAATCAATCAAGTGTCTTCAAGTGTCGTTGTGTTCTCCGATCTTCTTATCATCCGTCCATCTCATATGTGATCTTCCTCTGCTTCTCTTTCCTAACCATGGTCTCCATTGTTGTATTTCGTGGTTCCATCTCTTATCTTTCAGTCGAGAATTGTGTCCTGCGAAGCTACATTTTAATTTGGCAGCATGTTCTCCTGCATCTTTTACTTTCGTTTTGCCTCTAATCCATTTTCGTTTGTTTTTTTTTTTGTCTACAAGTCTCACCCCAAGCACTGATCTTTCCATCGCTCTTTGTGCTTTTACTATTTTATCCATATTAGACTTGGTGAGTGTCCACGTCTGTAGACCATACGTGAGTATAGGGAGGATACACTGATCGTAAACTCTGCTTTTCAAATATTGTTCTATTTTAGTGCTTTTCAAGATAAAACTCAGTTTTCCAAATCTTGCCCACGCTAACCATATTCTTCTGGTAATTTCGGCATTTTAATTTTCATTTGTTAACTTTCATTATCTGTCCCAGGTAGATGTATTCGCTTACTGTTTCTAAATTGATGTCGTTCAACGTTATTTCTCTAATGGTCGGTGTATTTGTCATTATTTTTGTTTTTTCCAAGTTCATCTTAAGACCTACTTTTTCCGAAGCTTGAAATAGTTGTGTCATCATGGTCTGTAGTTCTTCAAAACTTGTAGCGAATATTACAATGTCATCAGCGTATCTTAAATGAGTCAGTTTACTTCCATTAACATCTATTCCTTTATCTGCCCAGTTAATGTCTTTGAACATGTCCTCTAGTCCAAGTGTGAATAGCTTTGGTGAGATAACATCTCCCTGGCGAACTCTGTTGATTGGTATGGCTTTGATTTTCGCATCTATTTGTATTTTCATTGTAGCTTTCTTGTAAATATTATGTATGAGTATTCTGTATCGGGAGTCTATCCTGCAGTTGTTCATAGCTCTCTCTATTGCCCAAAGTTCTATGGAGTCGAATGCCTTGCCATAATCAACAAAGACAATGTATAAGTTAAAGTGATATTCATTGGAGTTCTGACTGTAAGAAGATGATCCGCTGTAATGTAACCCTTTCGGAATCCTGCCTGCTGTACCGGCTGATAACTATCGAGCTTCAGCGTTAACCTGTTAGTTATTACTCTCATAAACAGTTTGTACATTTGGGACAGCAGGAAGATTGTCCTATAGTTCTTCAGATCTCCCCTGTCTCCCTTTTTGAAGAGAAGTATTGTCAAACTTAAACATTAAGTATATTATAAATGTTTTATTTTTACTGCCGATTTACAAGGTAGGTCCTTCCTTTTAAATATCTTTTTTCTTTTATTTCGCTTATCCCTTTCGATACCATATGAATTTAAAAATAATATACAAACGAAACATGGATTTGAAAACAATATCCGAACGAAAAATCCAAATAGGCGAGAGAAGATCCAAGGTCGACGAATTTTGCGTTTGAATTTAATTTTAACCGGCAAAAGCGGTGTACCAAATCGCCTCATGGAGTTTGAGAAGATCGTTCTGATTTTGGCGGTGTTAGAATCCAGTTGAGTCGTACTGGGATGATCTCGGTGCGAGCGACATATAGCTTGATTTAGCATACCTCTGGCGATGTTCTTTGGCAGTGGTTGGGGTTTTTGATGGAGCTATATTATGATTTTTTTAATTTCTGGATTACATTTTCTTATCAAGAAGATGAAGCATGTCCAACTGTCTCCTTTTATCATATTATATTATATACTACATATTATATTATATACTATATATATATATATATATATATATATATATATATATATATATATATATATATAATATATATATATATATATATATATATATATATATCATTATGTTTCTACCTAATGAAAATAAATTTAAATGATGATTATCAAGAAGGCAACAATGAAGGGATCATTATGAAGTGTGGGTGGATAAAAAAAGTTACAAAATTTCAAAAAGTAACAGAGTGGGTTATAAACCATACATCAGCAGATGTCAAGACCAGAAATCTTAATTAAAGACAAGACAGTAAACTGATAATAGATAAAATTAAATAACGTAAATAAAAATAAAAATACTTCATACATAAAAGCCTTACCTGTACATGTCTCCAATATATTCTTCCACTGAAATTTTGCCATCTTTATCTTTGTCGATATCTTCCATCGTTTCTTGAACAACCAGATCACGCATATAGTCATTTTCTTCAGGATGTAAGAAAGCAGCAAATTCTTCTTTGTTTAATTCACCATCCTGGTCTTTGTCTGCAGTCTTCCAACGTCTCTTGTCTCTGGCCATCATCTTCTTGTATGAGAAGCCTATATAATTTTTTGATGCATTAATCTTATTTATTTAAAATGGTAATATACAATATAAAAAAATAAATTTTTGTAAATTTTTCGACAGGAAAACAGTATAATAAAAAGTTACGTGAGGGTTTTTCGTTGTGTTGGAGCAAACCAAAAATTAAAAATAAGGATTTTATTGTTAAAAAAAAAAACAAAAAACGACAGTTTGAAAATCATTGGCTTCAAAATTTTGTTAAGCGTGAATGCATGCAATGCAATGCAAGTTAAATAGCTCCATTTGTACTCCTTTCCACTTCCCTTTAAATATATAAATGTAAACCAACGGCCACAGTTTGGAGTTTATGCAGTCGCCCTCTTCAGGAGTGTTTTGAAGTAAAATACCCATGACCAAATCAACCATTTGAAATGTCCTTCTATATGCGTCTGTATTGCTTGGAATTAAATTAATGTTACTTGTAAAAAAGTATTGGTGGTGCATGTCCAAGTAGATATTCTTGTCAGTTTTTATTGTTGTATTAACCAAAGAATCTTCGTAGTTGTCAAACTGTCCATCAAGCCATTCATTAGTTTCTCCGTTATAGTTTGAGTATCTATATCTCCATATATTTCTATTTCAATGTGAGGTTAGGAAACCTCTCAAGATTCTGCTTGAATTTCATTAACTGATGATAGACTTGCTGGGAATTTAACGAGGGGAGGTGTATTCTTTGCATTTTTTTTTATTCAATAGTATAACTCTTTAAGAGTATCCAGTTAAAAGTTTCAGAGTAATCGGAGAAAAATTGATGGAGTTAGAGACATTTAGGAGTGAATGAGTTTAGTGAAGTGAGTGAGTGAGTGAGTTGAATGAGAGTAAATGAGGTGAATGAGATAATCAAGTGAGTTAGGTGAGTGAATGAGATGAGTAAATGAGGTGAGAACGTGAAGTGAGTATGTAGGGTGAGTGATTGAGGTTAGTGAGTGAGGTGAGTGAGCACTCACATAAAAATTGAAATAAGTACAATATCAGGTTCTCATAATTATGCACTCCCGCTAGACAACAATCGAATTGATTTACTAGCAGATTTAGATTTAGATTTACTAAGTTAGAGAGAAACTATCAAACAAAACACATTTATTTCAAAAATTATAATGAAAATTACCTGTACTATCATTTTCTATTTCTGCTGGATCCATATTTTCTAGAAAACCATAGACCAATGTTTGGTACCTCTCCCATGGTAGGGTTGGCTTATCATCAGGGTTTTGTTGTTTCCACTGCCTGTCAACATCCTCAGTAATGTAGCGTTTCTGAGTAAATCTGATCCAATCTTTGAGTTCTTCTCTGTTGATAAATCCATCATTGTTGACATCAATTTTGTCAGCTATTATTCTAAAAAAATATTTATATTGAATATAAGTAGATACACTACAATTTTTACAGAAACCAAGTTTAGAAAATTAAATACCAATGTCAATGTAAGTAACTTTGTTGTGTAAACATTTAAAAGAGCTGTTTTCTATTTATTAAAGTAAATCATAGGTTTTTGGATTAAATATGTATCAACAAAAAAATCCTCCAGATTGTGTTGTAAGACTGGCACAAAAGATTCTCCAAATCCGACACAAGTCTACCCATCACATAGGTTGCTTTTTCATATCCAAATCTTCGTGTATTATAACATTATATACTCACTGAAATCATAAGTTTCATCATCATCATCAGTTGACGCTACAGCCCTTTTTGAGCCATGGCCTACCTCAAAACATTCTTCCATCCCTGTTGAGTGTCTGTCTTCTCCATCCTCTTACTTTAATCTCCCTTAAATCGTTCTGCATATAGTCATGATACTTGAGGTCACCCCCTTCTTCTTCATCTTCCAACCAGCCTATTTAGCATGATTATTTTAGAAGGACCACTTTCATCTATTCACCTAATGTTGCCCACCCATGGTATATAGTTTATTTAGATAATTTTAGAAGTCTATAGTGTTCGTTATATCGCCTTCTCTCTCTACAGACTCTCTTGGTTAACTCCACCATATATGGTCCTCAATTCTTTTCTTTCAAAGATTCATAGTAAGAAATCATATGTTTAGAGACTATGTCATGGATCTTTATATTACAATCTGTCATGATCAACCTATTGACTTTCATAATGATTTATAATATATTGATGGTTTATCATTCTTGAGACCATAAACAAATTCAACTCTCCAAAATTTCCTGATTCCTGAATGGTAGTGGAGACTAAGTACAAATATTAACTAGTTCAGCTTTGATTTATGCATTTCTTTTCTCTGTAAACTGGACCTGGACTATGCATTTCTTGGACCCAAATTTTAAGAAAACAAAATTTCTTAGTGAGCAAATATTAAGGAATCAGTATAGGCTAAGCTAGAAACTATTTTAGAATCTCTATCTATGAGCAAAGATTATAAGGTTAAAATAGTCCAAAAAAATGTCTGTGAAGTGAAAAAGCCTTCAAAGATTCATCACGCCAAAACCATATCCATTAGACTGATATGGAAGATGATGGAAGAATAAACCAAATGTGGATATTTTAGAGTTTTGCAAAAATCGCAGTGATTTATTCCTACTAAAAAAATTAGCTAACCGAATTTTGAATGATATCTCTCCTACTTGGGAGAGATTGATTTTTACAATTACTTTTGAATAACACTTACGATTTGGGTATACAATTCCAAAGGCAGAATAAAAATCAACAATTGGATGTAAATAAAAATGTACAGACATCATGATTTTTACATTGTGGCTTAAGACTAGCATGTAAATCATGTGTTCGTGAGCATCAATGGGAATGGAAAACTACTCATGTGCTCATCACTACAGTCTATATTTTAAATGAAATAATTTCTTCTTTTTTTTAATCTATATTGTCATCATAAATAATTTTCTAATACAAATGTAAATAAATATGAAGTGGTTAATGAACTCATTCTTTTTTGTAATAACATTTTCCAAAGTAGATCAAAGGAGAACTAATGTTAAAGTTGTACAACCAATTTCATTGTTTTCTTGTACAAGAATTTAAATAACTCATCTGTAATGGTCATTTTACTATTAAAAACAATAAAAATTAAAACAGAAAGTGAATGTGGGCTTAAAATTGTCAGTTGACCCACATAATACATTGTTGTTGATCTTTATAAAGAATATTTCCAAAGTCAAAAGAAACTGGAGGGAATTTGTATTGATATTTTTAAAAACTGCACTACTCACTAGCCTGTCTATGTTAAATACAAGATTTTTTATTTTCATCTTCATATCCTAGAAAGATGATCTGCTTTGTAGAAAAATTTTGTGTAGGAATTATATCAAGCAAGAACATTGTCTGTATAAATGAAGAACTCTCTAGTATATGGCGATAAAAGTGAAACAGTAAATATTCATGTATCAGCAGAATAAAATTCAAATGTTTGCAAAAAGATGAACGAACTGTTACTGAGATTATAGAAAATATTTGAATAGAAATTATGGAGAAACATAAAGAAATTAATAAATAGACTGAAAATGAATTCCACTGGTATTAAAGCCAGCCTTAAATATTCACTACCTCCTGCATTGGACCATGGTTGATTTCTTACAATCGGAAAGACCTTAAGTAACAGGTAAATGTTTGTATAATATATGATAAAATGACATTAAACTTAGTGAAAATATCCTATTACAACAATTATGGCAAGATAAAGATAGATATAATTACCCAATAAAAAAAGTGTTGATCCTGTTTCTAGTATTACACCACTGAAAAATAGATTTGATTTATGAAGATTTATAAACACAACTGATAGAAGAGTAGACTCATGATAGAAATTATAAGTATATAAAAAATAAAGATACAAAAGGTAGAAATGTAATCAAAGAAGACAATACAGTAAAATCCATAAAATAACATAAGTACAACTTCTAATAAAAAATTAGGTACTTTTAGTACAAATAAAGATGACGTTACCTATCAACTGAAACATAAAATTGTTCTTTTATGTTTTCTTTCTTGTTTCTATTACACAATAGCAAATATATGTCGATATCAAATTTTTTAGTTAGCTATAAAATGTTCACAATTTATTAATGTGAAAAATGTAATAATTTTAAGATATTAATAAATCAATGACCTCATAAAAATTAAAAATAAGATATGCTCGTTACCCACCAAAAATAGAATATAGAGCACAATGACAGAAAACAATTAAAAATACAATGTAAAAAATATTGATAAGGTAATATTTTCAAGGTGAAATTTTATCTTAGATAACCGGTAAAATGCCGGTACTTATATAAATACAGGTGTGGTGTTGTAATACATACCCCAGTCTCCTTTTGCTTTCTTCGGGGGGCAGTTGATCGAAAGTTTTTGCTTCTTCTGCTCCCAAGAAAGCTTCGTGGTCATATTCAGGGTTGTGGTGTTCATTTTCGAAATGTTCTTTATCACTTAATTCCTTATTATGTACTCTTTTTTCTGAATGAACTTCCTCCTTTGGCACTGCTAATACTGCTGAAATTAAGCAGAAAACTACAAAATAAAGTTTGTGGTCCATTTTGTAGTGATTTCCTGCTGCCACTGAAGACCTATTTCTGGATTTTAAATTAAAATTACTGTAGATTAAGTTGAATGGCGTGGCTTAAATTTATTGGCTGCTGCGATCAAGTTACATTTGCTTCCACATCATCAAAAACATAAACTCCCACTGTTAATTGTTCTAGAAGATGCCGATATGTTTATAAATGTCAACATTGACGAAGTCTGTTTCTGCAACACACAAGTTAACATCTGTCAAAGTAATTATTTCTTTCCTTCCAATGCAATGTAGATTTACTTGTCTCTCTCAAACGAAAAGCAGTGATTCTTCGAGAATTAGGAATGTGTAAAGATAACCTAAAATACATTTTGAACTGGTTAATAGAGCAAAGGTCAACTTATAATGAATGCAAAAATAAAATAAAACTAAAATGTTGTATTGTATATTTAACGTTGTATATCATTATAAATCTCTTAGTTATGTGAAAATAAAATTGAAATGAAATATTTTTAAAGGTCGCAACATAAGTTGCATATCTATTAGTATTTGGTTGTATCCGTTGTATCGTTGTATCATAATAATTATTCCTTTAGCTTTCTGCTGTTCTACTTTGAAACTAATACCAAAAAATATAGACGCATACTATATTCTTTGCTAATACTTTTTAATGTACCTAAATATTAAAACCTTAATAAAATATATGCAATAAACTAACTTAATTATATGCATAATGGTCACAGAATAATTTTAATGGTCCTCAAATGATTTGTTCAAGACAATGTCTACGTTTTAGATACCGCAACATAAGTTGCATATCTACTAGTTAACCTATCACTTTGTAATGTGTCCAAATATTTAAAGAATCTATATTCTTTGCTTATGCCTTATGCATACATATCTTACACAAATATATTACTTAATTAAACAGCTAAGCTAATGAAATTTGCTATTTTTATTGAGAATAAGCCACAATTTTATTAATGATTTTAACATCGTTTCCAAAATAAAAAATATTAATAAATTAAACAAATTTTGTTTTTGTTACTTGGTAAAAAATTCTGCTAATAATTTAATTTTATCTGACTCATTGGCTATTTTAAAACATAAAAGATGTATCTTCGATATATGATTGACTTAATATCTATGGTATTCGCAAAGGAACATTCACAAGAAATAATACGAGGAAAATAACAATACCATACATAAAAGGAAATTATACCGAAAGAGTTGGTGCTGGAGCTCATGTATACTCGGCAGCTGTTATGGAATATCTAGCTGCTGAGTTTTGGAATTGGTAGAAAACTTTCAGCTCGAAATAACAAGAAAATCCGTATAATTCCTAGACATTTACAGCTGGCTATATTACGAAGAATTGAACAAATTGCTTTTAAGAGTTTCCTGCCTAATATACAAGTAGTATTATTGCCTAGTATCGAGCATAGTATCGAGCCATACGAAAACAGATAAAACACGATATTAAAAAACATCAACAAGAACATGTAGAAAGAGTGATAGAGAAAAATCGAAGTCTGAAATATACCAAACCGAAATTAGGAAAGAAAAATATTATAACTATGAAAAATCAACAAGGCCAACTAGAAACAAGCAAAGCTCAGATATCAAACATAGTTGAAAACTTCTATACTGAGTTATACCGCTCAAGAAACGATCCCCCCGACTCTTCAAAGCAAAATCTGAAAAGACAAATAACAAACGTAATTTCTGAAGTAATGCTCGAAATAAGCGAAGTAGAAATAGAAAATCCAATTAAAGAAATGAAAAGAAATAAAGCACCGGGTAGTGATGGAATTCTGACAGAAATGTTGAAAGAAGGCGGAGAAGAAGTCATCAGGTACCTAAAAATTCTTTTTAATAAATGCCTATTTGAAGGAGACATACCAAAGGAATGGAATACTGCTAATACAACATTAATACACAAAAAAGGGGACAATACAGATCTGTATTGTCCCCTTCGATGTATATAAACCAGTAGAGCAAGCCGGATTTAGAAAAGGGTTCAGTACATGCGACCATCTTCACACACTAAAGGTCCTAATAGAAAAAGTGAACGAATACAATTTACCAATCTGTTTAGCATTTATAGACTACGATAAAGCTTTTGACAGCATATAATTATGGGCTATTGAGGAAGCACTGATCAACAGCAGAATAGACTCTAGATATAGGATATTAATACATAATATATATCAACACGCTGAAATGGTAGTCACGATGGATAACGGAATGAAAACGAGGCCAATAAAAATCAACCATGGAGTAAGACAGGGAGACACCATATCTCCAAAACTATTTACTGCCGCACTTGAAGACATCTTTAAATCACTAAATTGGGAAACGAAGGGACTATCGATAAACGGAAAGTATTTAAAACCATCTAAGATATGCAGATGACGTAGTACTAATAGCCGACAGCTGAAAAGAACTGAAGACGATGATCGATGAGCTTCATACGGAACCCATAAAAAAAGGACTGAAAATGAATCTGAGTAAAACTAAGCTAATGTCGAATAAAGATGATCAACCGACGATAACCATCCAAGGAACAAAAGTGGAACATGTAGAAGAACACATATATCTTGGTCAAAATATCAAGGTAAACAAAGAAAACCAAACTACCGAAATAAGCAGACGAGTAATAATGGGATGGGCCACATTTGGAAAACTCTCATACATACTGAAAGACAAAAAGATACCCCAAAACCTTCGAACCAAAGTGTTCGATTCTTCTATCCTTCCCGTTCTCACTTACGGAGCTCAAATCTGGACATTCACAAAAAAGAACATGGACAAGATTCGAAAAACTCAGCGAGCCATGGAACGACAGATGCTTGTTATCTCACTAATAGATCGGCGAACGAACGAAGCAATTCGGAACAAAACAAAAATAAAGGACGCCGCGTAACAAGCAGCTAAATTAAAATGGGAACGTCTCGAAGATGGTAGATGGAACAAAGACATCGGAAACTGGCGACCGTACGATGCGAAGAGACCAAGAGGAAGACCTCAAATGCGCTGGAGCGGCGATATCAAAAGAGTCGCAGGACCAATGTGGAAACGCCTAGCACACAACAGGGATGAATGGCGAGAAATGAGAGAGGCCTTTATTCGACAATTCGGATAGAAAAAGGGCTATAAAAAAATTTTTGCCTAAGAAGAAGGAAAAGAAAGCTTAGGAGCTGTGCTCTTTTTATACAATGTATGTTATTTTAAAACATAAACAATGTATTATCGAAATGTTATTGACTTACTATCTATTGGACTCACAAACGAACATTGACATGTTAAAATTAGTGAACAATTTTCGATCTAATTAGAGAATTTAAGAGATAGAAATACAGCACAAATAAAAAGATTATTTAGCGCCCCAGTAATGAGAATCTTGAGAATAATTGCTGCATAAACATTAAGATACAGAATACCAAATAACCAAATAAGAGATCTCTGTAAAATAATGAATACTGTACGATTGGGAAGACGTGAATGAAACCAGTATGTTACAAAAAAGGATAGTGAGAGACTTGTCTATATAGCAAGGGATCTAAGGCCGAATGGCATCAGATCATCAGGAAGACACAAAGATGGCGTAGTAGCTGGCCGTCAAGGGCACAAACACTACATAAATACCATAGACGTATAAGATACATGTACCAAATAAGGCCCAGTTCCTAACAAGGCTCACCCTCATTCGTATTGAGTAACCTCAAGTTATTCCTTCTAACCCAGAGGCCGCCAGCAGGAAGGCGCAACAAATGAATCCAGGAAGAACTACAAACTGAAATTAAAAAAATATTATGTCCGAATTAGAGGCATTTGACAAACCACAGCTCATCTATAATATGGGTGAAAAGGGTTGTTGCCTGTCTCTCCACAAGTCCTCTCAAGTTTTGGCAAAGAAAGGTGAAAAACGGCTACACTTTGTTGCTTCTGAACGTAGGAAAAATGTATCTATCGTGTCATGTGGAAATGCAATTGGACAGGTCATTCCTCTAATGATTATTATCAAAGAAAAGAGACGCAATCCAGAATGGGAAGATTATTTGCCACATGGAACAGCGGTAGAGATGACAGACAAGGGCTCAATGACTACATCGACCTTTATTAAGTGGCTGCATCATTTTGCCAAATATAAACCTGCAGGAGGTCTTCTACTTTTTGATGGAGCATCGTCGCATTGAGATTCAGATACTTGTGACGTTGCTAAAGGTCACAGTATTAGACTGTACTGCTTACCTAGCAATACGACTCATGAACTTCAGCCTATTGACAACTCAGTATTTAAAACATTCGAGTCGTATTGGAATGACCAAGTCCAATCACATTGGTCGACAAATAATGGGGAAAAAAACAGACCAATTAATAGACATGAATTTGGAAAAATCCAAGTTTTTCACCAAGTTATGGCCAAAAGCTGCATCCCCAGTTAATGTCATGTCTAGATTCCGAGCTACTGGGATTTATTCTTTTGATCCAGAATCTATTCCTGACTATCATTCGCTCCTTCCCATCTTTCACAGCGTCCAGATCCAAAAGAGGACATGCAAATTGGTCTCGAACCTGCTGAAGCATCAGTGATTCCAACAGTTCCCAAAAAACGAAGTTTCCGAAAAAGGACACAATAATCCAGCAGTTCTAGTTCTTCGAAAAGTTAGTTATTTTCTGTGAGAGATAGTTCATGTGACGTCAGTCTTAATGGCGATGATAATAATAGCGACAACCCTAACGAACTCGACTGTTCCTTTCAAAAAATTTAGAAAACTCCAGAGCTGAGGAAGAAACTCCAAATCCCTAGACGGAAGACTTGTAGAACTTTGGCTTCAATGGAAAATTTAACGAGGTTTTTGTTGAACTGAAAATTTGTTAAAAATATCAATTAAAAATGTTCAAAGTGGGTTCCGTTGTTTTGTAAACAATAACACAGATTATTTTTAAATTTTGCACGAACATTGGCAAATGTTGTTCTAGTATTAGTAAAAAACTATATAAGTAGGATATCACAT